CGTCGTAACCCAACTTGCCCTCGCTCACTTTGGCCACCACCACACTGGCGTCGACGCCGGCGTTTTGCGCGATCTGTAGACACGGCATACGCAGAGCATTCGCTACAATTTTGATTCCTGTTTCCTGATCGCTGTTCACCGCCTTGAGCTGTCGCAGTGTCGGTATACATCTCAACAGAGCGGTGCCGCCTGTAAAAAAAAAACAGTCGCAATATATTAGTGTATATATACACATACATGGGGAAACGTAGAGATGAAAATCGAGATTTACCTCCGGGAACAATTCCTTCTTCGACAGCGGCGCGAGTGGCGTTGAGGGCATCGTGCACACGGTCTTTCTTCTCGTTAACTTCTACTTCGCTGCTTCCGCCAACCCTTAAGACAGCGACTCCAGACGCTAACCTCGCCAAACGTTCCTGCAGCTTCTCCTTCTCGTAGTCGGACGTAGTATTCTCGATTTGATCCCTTATTTGATCGGCTCTCCTATCGATATCAGCCTTTTTTCCTTTGCCTTTCAAAATGAGAGTGTCATCTTTCGTGATGATGACTTCTCCTACCTGACCCAAGTCGCTTGCCTGGGAAATAAAATATTATCTATAGAATTCTGCCAATTTGATTGAACTACATATTATTGAATTATTAATTTAAACATATAAGTACCTGAACGTCCTCCAGTTTGATAAGATTAGCGTCATCGCCGAATACAATGCCACCAGTGGATATTGCCATATCTTGAAGGGTGGCTTTTCTATTGTCACCGAAACCAGGAGCTTTAACAGCAGCCACTTGCAATCCGATTTTCAAACGATTGACAACAAGTGTCGACAGAGCCTCGCCATCTACGTCCTCGGCAATTATGACGAGAGGCTTACGTTGCGAGTTGGCCAGTTCTAAGGCGGGGATAATGCTTTGAACGGAAGAGATCTTCTTTTCGCTAAAGAGAAGGAGCGCGTCTTGAAACTCGACTTTGGCTCCTTTACTGGAATTGATGAAATATGGAGAGATGTAGCCTCTATCGAATTTCAATCCTTCTATGACCTCCAGCTCATCGGTTAGTGTTTTGCCATCCTTTACAGTGATCACACCTTCCTTCCCGACCTTCTTCATGGCGTCAGATATTAAATTGCCGACAGCTTTGTCACCGTTAGCGGATATCGTTGCTACTTGGGCGATTTCCTCGGGTGTCGTGACTGGTTTGCTCAAAGTTTTCAATTCATCTATGACTTTATCTACTGCCAACATTACACCTGAAAAGCAACAGATTTTTTAATATGTAACTCTATAACAAAAATATATATCGTGTATATATTAATCTTAAATTTATCTTGCAGCGCAAGGTCAAAGATCAACAGCTTCCTCAGACACTACAAGATACAAATAATTTGTCGATTATATAAACTAATACGCTTACCTCGTCTGATTTCTATGGGATTTGCACCTTTGCTGATCTTCTCAAATCCCTCTTTGGCTATAGCTCTAGCTAATATAGTTGCGGTTGTGGTACCATCACCGGCTTCCTCATTGGTATTATTAGCTACATCCTGCACTAATTTAGCTCCAATATTTTGAAACTTATCTTTTAATTCGATGCCTTTTGCCACAGTCACACCATCCTTTGTGATCTTTGGACTTCCCCAGCTTTGTTCCAGAATAACGTTACGACCTTTAGGGCCCATTGTCACGGCAACAGCATCTGCCAAAATGTCTACACCTTGCAACATCAAGGCACGAACGTCCGCTCCGAAACGCACGTCTTTGGCATAATTACGCGCCTGCAACTGGCGCAAGGCAGTTCCTCTCAATACAGCGGGTAGTCTGTGCATCTACAAAAGAACATAATTAATATCAATCGAGGTTCCGATTTTAAGCCACATCATTTTAACAATGTAAGTTTAACTATAAGTAACTTTGCACTTTCTGATGCAATTATTAAAGTGAAACATTTAATATCGATTCGCTTTTCCTTTAAGCAAAAAAGATAAAACATTTAACTGGTGTAAAATCTAAAAGCACGTCAGCTTATAAAACAAATAAAGAAATTAATAAATTAAGATAAATTGTTATAAGAGGGAATATTGCGTCGTATAAACGGAAAGTAGAAAGATGGCAAAAATATTGTCTGTTAGATTAAACTAAAATATTTAAACATTAATTGTAAATACGTAAGTGTATGTAACTGTAAAAATTCCGTTATCAGATTACACGAAAGCGTAATTTAACAAGAGAAATATTTAGTTGAATAATTAGTTGAATGGAGGAGAAAAGAAGAAATAATTATTAAAGCGATTTATCGCGAATAATGGCGCAATTTCTAGAATTACATATTTATACAATTCATAAATCGTAATCGTAAATTATCCTCGGGATGGAAATGTGGTTATGTAAAGTTCCGCGTGGAGCGGCGGTCAAAGGTTAACGTTTTGGGGATAAAATTATTGCTTTCGCGAATCCGATCGAAAATCGGAGCTTGACCCAATTGAGAAAATCGTTCGATTCTCTCATTGAGGATCGTTTCCCGAAGAAGAAACGAGAATCTCGTCGATCATTCGCGAAGATCGCGCACGCGGATCCCGGCCGGCTAAATTCGTCCCGACGAATTTTCTCGTGATCTTCTTCAAAGAGATGGGAATCGCTCCATTTCGTGACTTTACCTTTTATTCTTAAAATGATACTCTTCGGCGAAACTGATTCGACCGATGTTGATCGGTGTCGAGAGCGAATTGAAGATCGGCGCGACGTGACTGCAGACTGCACGTTGTCTCGCCAGTAGAATGTGAACGGAATGAGAAGAGAAACGAGAGCGTGCGCCATCACATGAATCCCCTCTCCCCTCTATCCTCTACCCTCTCTTATCATCGCTTCGATTGAAATTAATCTTATAACCGTGACGGATTAATTTCAAATAAAGATTATTTCGTAATGGCGAGAAAAGGATTTACCAAAAACAATATTTTGAAAAGTTTGATGAATATTTTATTTCAAAGAATCGCGATAACGCTGGATGTCTCGAACGAGATCACCGCGTGGAGTAGATTCTAGAAAGTACGATCCCGCGTGACGCAATCGGCCGGTTGTGTCAATCATTCTTGCATGTGTCAACATTTTTTCCTTACTATTATCGTATATTTGAAAGTATATATTTTTAGTACGACTATTCGTGAAAATGAAGACTCGAAGCTTTCGTGTTTTTCGTTGTCGCAAATAAATAGCAAGATTTCATTTTTGCTTATTCATGCCAACGAAATCTGAACTCGTCGATAAAGTCGTCTTTTTACGTTCTTTTATTCTCTTACGAGATTTTATTTTTTCCGTTATCTTTTCGTTGTAAACTATGACAGGGCGATTAACCATGCAAATAAGTTGATAAATCGCTTATCTGGGAAGAGCCATTGCATCGTTTGCAATTTAATTTATTTATATATAAATTATAAATCTCGCCGGTAATGACGATTTCGTCAAATTTGGGCGTGAATCGAGAGAAGATTAAAGAGATAAGAAAAATAAATACATAAATTTCTTGTTCAAGAAATTATCGAAAGATCAGAGATCAGAATAACTCTCGAAATTCTACGGCGAGATTACGTAACCACTTCTTTCGTAGCCGCGATAAGAGACGATCGAATGCGCGAGATACCGCGGCGCACGGTGGAACTCGGAGGAACCTTCGTGGAGAGGAACCTTCGAGAATATACCACGGCTCTACACAGCTGCACAGCTCTACTCCGTGTGCCGGTCGCAGTTTAGGTTACACAACGTGTCTGTGAGAGCGTGCGTTCACGTCGTCCGGCTTCGACCGATATTACTTTTGTGACTGCCAAAGAAATCGCGATTATGGTGAGAGATCCTGTATAAATGAAGCATGAGAAACGATAGCGAGACAACTTTCTACACTTTTTACGCAAATCATTGAGAAATATTCCTCTTATTCTCCTTATAACCCTTCCGATAAGGATCCACGACGCTTTTTATCCCGTGCTCGAATTATTCGCATCTCCAATTATTCCTAACAAAACATTTCGCGACATCACGTCATTTTGTCTGCGTTTATTGCTTTAAAGCGAATGGCATTTGTTTGAATGAATTTGTCGAGATAGACGAATCGGCGCCTCGACTGTTCATTCTTATTAATCTCTAAAAAAGGGAGAAAATAATTAATTATGCAAGAATTACAGGTATTTCACGAACTTGCCGTATAGCGAGAAATTTTGTTAGTCGTTTGCATCATGCACATTTCAGTCTTTTCCTCTGTCAAATTTTTACATTTAAATGCCGAAAGATTTATAATGGAGAAAATGATCAATCACATGAGTCGTGAAAAGTATAGCTTAATTATCATCTCCACAAGTTTTTTTATAATATATTAAAAACTATGAGGTTGACAAAAAAATATAGTTAATTTCAAATATGTTTACACATGTTACAGGCTGCTGCCAATGCTGTGAAGAGGCTTATTCCTCTTTTTGACAGAGTCCTTGTACAAAGGGCCGAGGCTATAACCAAAACGAAAGGTGGCATTGTGTTGCCAGAGAAAGCGCAAGCAAAAGTTCTGCGGGGCACAGTTATCGCAATAGGGCCTGGAGCAAAGAATGATGTATGTATACAAAATATCCTATTTACATACTTATCTTTTACAACATTTAAAATAGTAATATTTTAATTATTGTATATTTTTTTTATTAGAAAGGAGACCACGTGCCTTTAAGCATTAAGATTGGAGACATTGTATTACTTCCGGAATATGGTGGCACAAAAGTCGAACTTGAGGATAACAGGGAATATCATCTGTTCCGCGAATCGGATATATTAGCCAAAGTAGAAGTTTAAGTTATTCATTGACTTTAACGTTCCCAGTTTTGTAAATGCTACGAACTATTCCACAACCTCACAAACTAATTTGCAGCAAGAAGTTATATAAAGTTTTAATATATCTTTGAAGGTTAATTGTTTGATCTAATAAAAAAACTTCAATTTTTAAAGACTCTGTTGCTGCTAAAGTACCATTATGTTTCTCATTCTATGTGTACATACAATTTTCTGATAAAATAAAGCATTTGTCTACTATATTTGTTGTTACAATTATATATCTAATATATATTAACTGTTAAATAACTATAAAAGCAGGTGTATTTTCCTTTTCCTATCCGAAAATTATTATTTACATGCTACATATTTAAGATATATAGCAATTAATATATTATTGATTGTGATATCATTGGTAATTTTCTAACAAGATTTTGCTTTTTTGGTACTCAAATGAGATTATTATCATTTAAAATTATATTTCCATTGATGTATATACAATTGGAAAATCTTTTTAATTAATATTTTAATTTAATGCTCTTTTTTGCACCAGCTTTGATACCAGAGATCTCTCCGTCGTAGCGTGTCAATTCCTTTCTCACCTCTCTTATCTGTAAAAAATAATATTCATCATATATAAAATATCTTAAATTCGTATGTGTCAGTAATACATTTTTATTTTTCGTATTTTATATATATACGTACCGCGCCTTTTCTGCGAATTAGGGCTTTACGATACTTATTTTTGTGCTTCACTCGAGGATTGCGTAATTCCTTCTTACGATAAGGTGTAAGACCTCTGTTCTTTGCCATTTGGTAAGTTATCGCCCTCTTTCCTTCCTCTTCGTTTGTAGGATCTATGTTTGTAGTATTATCCTTTTCATCATCTATAGCTTTGCCATCATATGACTTTTCTTCATCTAGATCTGTTTCTTCCATACTATCCGATAGTAATTGTTCTTGTTTGTCTTGTTCTATTATTGTTACTTTTTGTCGTGCTATATTTTTTATTAAGCTGGTCTGTTTTGGAATGTTTTTAGAAGTTTTTATCTGAGAACCATCTGATAGGCAATAAAGAGGTTTACCCTCTTTAACTGCATGAAGTATCTCTGCCACTTGCTCCAACAGATTTCCTTGTTTTGATTGTAATTGGTCGAGAAGTTTATGATACTGTATCAGACGCTTTGTAACTGGATGCATTTTTACTGGCAAACCTTTGGCTTTTAGCATCAAGAAAAAAGAGACATTGATACAATAATTTAATAAAACATGATATTTAGTTCTAAGTAAAACTACAGCATTACAATCAGGACATGTTCCATTTTCAACCAGTTTGAGAAAAGGTGCCAAAAGATCTTTTGCTTCTGTCATGCAATCTGCAAAAGAAATAGTCATATATTAAATGCCATAAATATTATCAGGCTATTATTAGTATATCTATAATTATGTAATAATATATGCAAAAGAAATATATTTTTTATTTATATAACACTAAAGATATTGCATTCAAAAGCTTAACACAAAGTGCGTATCAAAGAGAGAAAAATTCTTGTATAATCAATAAAATTATTATAAGTGATAATAATTATTATGTTTAGTAATAAACTAAATAATAGCAAAAAGATATATGATACATGTTTTATGCATACCTTTAAAATTATTGACCATAAACATAAAAGATTCTTTATCAGACACTTGTTTACTATCTTTTTGATCGCTTTTTTTATCTTTTATGGTTTGTACAACTTCATTGATATTCACACTATCAAGATCTAAATACTGTTCCATTGATCTTAAATGGAGTTTTTTTCCTTCCTCTTCTTCTATATCAGCATTAAATAAATCCTTTTGAGGTGCTACTGCATAATCTGTATATTTAAAGTCTGATGAATAGAAAGTTCTTGCCTTGTTGCCCCAAGCTCTGTCATTTGGCATATCATAATCCTCTTGTAGTTCTTCAATATCAGACTCCATTGAATCTTGCTGATCATCTTCTTGCTCCTCCTCCTCGCTTTCATCTTGTAATCCGTAAACTTCATCATCACTATCAAAATTTTCAATAGTGCGTTGTTTTCGCACTTTTTCTAGCAGTTTTTTCTCAGTTTCTGTATATTCTTCTTCCGAGTCTGTCACAGCATCTATATCCATATCTTCGATATCATCTTCATTGTCGTCTTCAGTGAGAGGCTTTCTTGTTCTAGCATGAAAGAAAATAAATACAAATATAAAACAGATTGTTATGTTTGTATCATGAAATAAAATAAAATAAATTTAGCAGCGATTAAAAATCAAAGCATAATATAAACACATAAAGTTTCCAAAGTATTAGTAAGTAGAATTTGTACTTCAAATTTAAAAAGTGATCTTAATTACTTTTTTATTCGTCGCTTTTTATTAATTAGTTATTAACAAACTAGTTATTAACAAATTTTGTTGATGAAAATAATCATCCACAAATTTACACATATTTTATAATAAAAATTTCTCACAGGATTTATGCTTGTACGCTATCGAAATTTTCTTAAATTAGATTTAATTAATTTATAAAGTGTTACCTTTTTCTGCGAACCATAATTGAACGAGGGAACAATTAAACGTTTTCACGTGCCAAATATCACGACGCCTAGCCTGAAAATATTCAGGATTACGTTCGAAAATTTACTCATCGGAAGAATAGCATTCGACCGACCAATCAGAACAAAGAAATCTTGGCTTCTGATTGGTCGGTCAAAGCCGCTCCATGTCCGACGATTTTCGAACATGACCTCGAAGTGTGAACATAGGAGCAATGCTGTGATTGGCTCGCTGCTTGGACCGTTACGATATTTCCAAGAATTGAGATATTTCGCGTTTGAATGTCTCAGGTCGTGAACGCGTCGCGTCGCGGTTCGTGCGTTTTTCGCGATTATTACGTGTTTTACTCGAAACGGAATCGGGAATTTATGTGAAAAGTGTCTCGTAAAGTGTCCAACTTTCGTCGTAAAATGGTACAATCGACATTATATCTCGAATTCGTAATTTCGATGTCAACGATCCGCTTCTTCACGCTCGAAATCGGTTGAAACCCGATCTCCCTGAATTACCTGCAATTGATGGTATCATCATTGCCAAGTATGTATACATTTCCTTGTGTTATAATTAATTATACCGATTATATATTTTCTCTGATACTTGTGTACTAATAGATGTGTATAAATAAAAATATAGCAATAATTTTCCGATTTTGTCGTTTTGCGCATCAACAAGTACTCTATTAAAGAAGCCACGGAGAAAAAAGATTTGATTTTGAAACCGCGATATCGTTATTTCTTCGAAAGATTAATATCAGAATCGTTATAAAAACAGGCGATTTTTGCCAATTTTGTACTTGAAAAAAATCGTTTTCGGGAAGAAAGAAGCGGGCAGTTTCAAAAAAGCTTATCGTGAAAAATATGCGGGCGCGCGGTAAAAAGTTCGCAATTTCGCAGAATGAATTTCCAAGTCAATTCTATCCGTTCAACCTACGTTAATTGTATTTCGCGAACCGCGAAACATCATTATCGAGTCGCGCGAAGTCGTTCGAAATACACAGTCTCTATCGCGGTGCAGTCGTCCTACGGGGTGGCGAGAGATGGTGTGAGGGGTAGGGGGGAGGGGACCGCCTAGAGCACGCGCCGCGGAAACGCGTCATCGCCGCGTCTCCCTTATCACGGCGCCACGCGCCTCGCTCGATTCTATTTACGAACAATAAGCACAATGCTCCTATCACGTATCACGTCGCCCGTGTAGCGACGCTCTGCCCCAGTTTCACTTTGCCAATATAATGATCGCCGTGGAGACACACCGAACAACCCGCGCGCGCTTTAAATGCAGAAGCGTACTTCTGTGTATAATACAACGTCGTCGTCGTCGTCGTCGTCGTCCGCACACTTTGATGCATTTGTTTACGTCAACAGCGATGCCTGCTTAAAGCTCACACCACGCACAGCCTGGTACGTAAGACGTTCGAGTCATTTCCGCGCGATAATATCGCCGTGTGTATTCTTGGAAAATATAGCAAGGATAATACTCGAAAATCTAGGTGAGTGTCTTGATAAATTCCCATGCGATAATAATGTGATAGAGAGAGAGCGAAATTAATCAAGATTCGAAATAATATGGTGATACAGCTTATACATATATATTTACATAGAAGATATATATTTATAATAGAGAGAGATTCTCTCTCTCTCTCTCTCTCTCTCTCTCTTTCTCTCAGAGAGCATTGCTTCTTTATTTAAAATAAGATTTTTATGATATTACAGTATTAATCATGTTTTTCACAAAAATTGATATATTTAAATAAATACATCTATACTTAACGCTATGGTGTCGATTCTATTGGCGGAAAAGTCTTAACGGTATTGTTGATTGTAGATTTCTTTCTTTGTTTGTGCGTTCTAACAGGTTGCAGAGCGACGATGTGCGAATAGCTCAATTCACGCTCCCTTTGGAGTTCCTCCATACTGACCTTGTTGAGGAAAAAGGGGCCGGTAGTCATCATGCCGATTGCACCAAGCGGGGCCAGAAATACTATAGCGATTACGGAAATCTTTACTACTTCGAGGGCTAATTCGATTTTCGTTGGGTCGTCCTCCTTTCTAGCACGTTCGAATGCCATCGGCGCTAACGCTGCCTAATTTTCATTGATATTCGTCAAATTGATAATTTCACATTAAAAATATTATTACGATATAAAAATTTCTACTACGAAGACGAGAAAATTATTCTTTTCTTACTTGTAAAGTTCCTTTCGGTATCCAAGATATAGCGACGAAAAGTCGTTCTTTCCACGTGAAAGGCATTCTAAGCGTCGTTAGAAAGGCGGTAGTACTACGTACCTAAATTTGGAAAATGGCGTAAAATTTATGTCGACATATATATCTGCATTTAAGACATACACGTAATATGGTGAGGTATATTGATGTCGCGAGAGAAAATTAATTCCGAAAATTTTATCGCAAGTAATGTTAAGAAAAATTTATATATTCAATTTTCTCTCTACTCGTTTTTTAAAAGTTCAATTATTTTTCACTTCTTAATCGAAATGATGACTTACGGATATACCTATTAGTATACAGGCCAGGTAGAGCCCGAATTTTAATATAGCCCAGTTTCTAAAATCGATATCGGCACCGATCACGCCCCCTAAAATCGGTTGCACAAAATGCCACAAGAAATAAAATGCTTTATGGAAAGGCGTCGTCTGCAATATAAAGAGAATGATGGAAATAAACTTTTTATAGGATTTATAGAATTAATCTCAAGATTTTATCGCCAAAGATGTTTGACGCGAATTAATAATAAGAAAATTTCGAACTTTTCGATTGATTATTTATTTTTATTACTTACATCGTACGAAACTGTCAAGATTCGCCATCCGTGAATTGCTATAAACGATAGTATAATGGTAGCGAGGTATCCTCCACCTGTAATCGCCAGTCTCGATGCTGCTGTGGTACACATCAAAGATGCGAGAGCCAAACCGCCGATGCGATACCACATTGCGTGTTTCTGATATACAACAAGAAAATTGAAGCATAATTAATATAAATTATGTAATAAATTATATGTATGTATAATAATATTGTTTATCGTAAAATTGTACACGAAACTAGTGAGCTACTCTCGTTTTCTCGCGAATTTTATCATCTCTCTCATACTCTCTCGGTGAGAGCAATATTTTAATAAAACATTTCGAAAAGGCGTTAATAAGTCTGCCCTTGTTAGTTCAGATTACACGAACGTACTTTCGCGATACGTGACCCGAATTTCGTGGGCACTTGGACGCGAGGAAATGAATAAAGTACCTACGTGATTGCGATGAGGGAAAAAGGCCAGAGCAAAACCCAAGATAATTCCCACTATAAGTCCTAGAAGGAAATCTCGAATCCCGCCGGGGATATAGGACCACCATTCTGTTCTCCCGTCATCTAGAAAGATGTATAGCTCGCTTTATACAGAAAGCTTTTTTCGTACGTTTAGAATTTTTTATACACTGCCACCAGTTTGCGATGTTGAGCGTCACAAATTGTTAATGTATTTTTTTTTTTAGTGTGTTATGGAAGTTGTGAAATATTTAAATCGTTATTCATACATATCGTATAAAGGAGTAATTCTCGATCGTGGCAAATTATTTATCTTTAGGAGCTACGATTTTAAATATAAATTAATGTAAAATGCGTACAGTCAATTTTTTATCAGATTCTTATCGATATTCTTTTTACATTTTCTTTGTCAAAGATTTAAAAAATTTTTTCCACTTGCAAATTTTTTCGCATTCAAAGAATTAAAAAGATTGCAAATTGGTCAATGTATCATTATGACGCTTTAGAATTGTCTTACAATTTCTATTATACCGTTGCTAAAAACGAAAGAGAAGCAGATGGAAAACAGAGACACGATGTGAACGTCATCGATAGACGCTGCTGTGGATAATAAGCTGGTGAATCCTTTATCTTCTCCATAACCTTGTTCAGCTAGGGTGAGCATGCAGTTGACCGTTACAACGGGGGACATGCAGGCCACAATTGTCCTTGAAAAGCAATTTATTACTATGTAAATCTTCCTTATATTTTTGCGGTAAGACAAGAATCTTATAATCGTTAGTCCAGACAAAAATCATATATATATATATATAATAATGAGAAATATTTTGGACTAGCGATTATTTTCAATTAATATAATTGTGAGAAGTTCTGCGTGCGATGGTATAAGAATTTGCTCACCCTGTCATGAAAGACCAATTCCACGGAAAGTCGAGGAGATATCTGCACGAGACAGTGAGCGTTAGCATCTCGATGGTACACGGTACAAGCGCGAGGATCATCACGAACATAGGATGCGCTCTCAGTGCAGTCGTCGTCAGCTGTAGACCGGCACGTACCATGATGAAAGTCAGGCAGAAGGTCCTGATCTTGGATGTTGTGCCCGGCCCGAGTTCGTCATGTATATTATAAATGTCGGTGTTGCGCAATATTATACCGGCTAGGAGCATGCCGAAGATGGGCGGCAGATGCAGCCAAGGAATATAGACGAGGGTCCAGCCAAGCGTGTAGGAGAAAACGACGAGAAGCAAGAGGCCGAAGACATTGCCACCTGGTAGTACCATGTCGCCCAGCAGAAAGTACAGAACAGCCCAGACCAGCATGGTCATGCCGGCCACGGTCGCGAGCCAGAAGAGATCCGCCCATGTCAGTTGCAAATCGAAGCACGCGGATATCACATCGGTTACGAGAATCTCCCGTAATATCGGGTTGCAAAAAGTCGCGCGATGGCAGCAAGTGTTATCATCGTCTTCCTCGTCTTCGTCTCTCTCCTCCGTTATCTGGATCGATCTAATTGTAATAGATGCGTATCTCGTTCAACTTTCTTCGCGTAGTATCACAATAATCCCGTTGTTACTGTTTAACTCGATAAAAATTGTACTCCGAGCGTTAGGTTTGTTAGAATCAATCTTATCGTTAATTCACACTTACTTCCCTCGCATCTGTACATTATTCTCAGATGCTCGCGTATTTGCGGAAGTGGATGCGATCGGTTTATCCTCAGGAATAGATTGCATACGAGACAATGACCTCCGCTTTATCTTTTTGCACTGATACGGCTATGTTCATCAAATTGGTCTTGAGATATTGAATCTTTTATTGGTTTCTATCATACGAAAATGAATATTTATGTCATTATCATATATATTATAGTTTTGACTGATATGGGAATTTGACATTTAAAACAATGCGCAATATTTTACATGACCCACGTGAATTTCGATATATTTTAACTAATTTCATGATACAGCTAGAAAGATATATTCAATCTATTGTTTATATTTTTAATATTTTGTCATTTATCATCATATATTAAAATAAACGCATGAAATGTGAAAATAATGCTATTTTTACGCTCGGATAAAAAGATTAATTTTATTCACGTTTCCTATATTATAATATATATACTAAGATTTCGCTAAAATTAGATTTCATTGATTGTTGCAGGACGTTACATGGAAGTGTTTTAAGTTGTCTCCTCGATTCAATACTCGAGGGAAACCACCGTTACGTGCGTGAGAGGGCAATCTCATCTCTAAATGCAAATAGAAGCTATTACCGACGATGTACTCGCTCTTAATTTATTCCATAATCGGGACGTTTTCGTGAAATATTCGCGTTCTCCTTCGCGAAGCATCCTTTCGTCGGGGTGACGAGGTCATAGATACATACTCCACGAGATAGAAAGAGAAGCCGTGGAAGCAACGGAACATGATAGACATACAGACGGAGAAGAACGAGAGAGCGAGAAGAAGAGGAACTTTAAAGAAGCAACCGACTGTTCCGCGAATGACTTCAAAGGATTCCGCGGATATTGAATAATTCCAGGTACGCGCGACGTCTTATGAAATATTCTCGGTTGAATATACATAATTTTAGGTCCGGCTGTGATATCCTGCGTTTCGTCGCGAAGCAATTACGGCAGATGCGAATAATCGTGGGGAGGTCATTTCACTTGAGACGATGACTCTTATATCTCTTCTCGTCATATTACGAGAGTTTAATCTGTCTCGTCGATGTGCTGAATATGACGACTTTATTACGCGAGACGAAACGCGGAATATCATACTTATCTTCGAAGATTCACGATCAACGTGTAATGGAGGAGGAATAACTTTAAATTGCATAGCAATTTCTCACAGCTGCCAGTAACGGTAAATTGTCGCGAAAATCCTAGAGAGTATGAAATATCGCGTGTACGTTGGAGAAAGTATCCTCCGTAGAAGAGCGGATTTTAGTATCTGTAGAATCGAGTTACTTTAATATAGGTCGCGCTTATGATCATAACGCGAACTTTTAGAGCCTCCGAAATTCGCCGCGTTAGTGGAGGATGACGGCTGAATAGCCGAGAAGCGAATCACACTCTTTAGCCGAAAGCGAAAATTAACGAACGAGGCCTAAAACTGCCAGTTTTTTTTTTTAAGATGTCAGCTTGCGGCATACGACGTTTATAGTTAAACTTCTCTTCGCCGTGGCCCACTTTTGTTTTTGAATTATGCATAGGGTATTGGGCGTTCGCGGTTGAGTTTACTATTAGTATTATTACACATGGCTCTTTCTTCAAAAATTAATATCTTTTACAAAATCATTTCTTTTCTTTTATCAATTTGGAGAGCTGTACATCTTTTGAAAATTTTACTAGACATCATTTTTTAACATTTAATTTTGATAATCAATATTTATAATAAAACAAATACTTTTTAAGTGAGGATCAAATACAAAATAAAGTTTTGTTGTCTTCTGAAATATAGCGTGAAAAAATTTTATTAATTTTATTTTTTATAAATCTTTTATCATTTATAATTGACATAACTTTGTTTCCTGTTATTTTTTCGTCAAGAACATATCTGTTGACTAAAAAATTGATCAAGGAATTTTATTATGAGCGATATGGGCGATAAACAGCGAGAAAGTTACTCCACAAGAATTCATAAAAAAAAACATCAAATTTTTATCAACGATCTATAAAGTTTAACCATTCGTTCAAGGAACTCTACGATCTGTGCGCACGCCAATAGCGTCGCCTATCCCCCTTGCAGCTTCCGCCCCGACTCCCCTTTTGCACTCATCTCGCCCGCCGTTTCTCTCCTACGCGCGCATTCTCTCAACCCCTCTTGCCCCATTTACCCTCTCCAGCACCCGTGGTTCACTTCTACTCGATGCTTCCACCCCCGCGAGAATATATTCAGTTCGCGAGCGATGCTCGCCGTGATCGTGCCGAAATTCTGATTGATATCCGTTTGGCATTGCTTTTAACGGTGAACGACCGTGATAAAAAAGAGAAATAGAGAAAAGATCTTGCCGGTTTTGTTGGCAAATTTTCTTTGCGTTCGCGTGTGAAACCGGGTACATTTACACAGACATAAATCGCTCCTGGGATTCTCGTGTGCACTTTGTGATCAATTTGGTGTTATAAATCGAACTGCTTCATATTTCAAATTTGCATATAAGGTGAGTGTTTTTCTCCCGCTTGAGAAATAATTTCAGAAAAAATTATATAATTATAGATTAACAATAAGTATTCATTATATGTGTTACATGACTATTGTATCAGTCGTAAATATTTACTGAATATGTGTGACAATAAAAATTATCCATTTCATATTTTTTTTAAATTAAAAAAAGAATATTTTTTACGCAAAAATATTTTTTTAAATTAAGTTGTTTTAAAATTGTAAAATATTAAATTATAATAGTTTAGCATTGATATAGAAGGATAGAAAAAAAAGATAAAAAGCTTGCATGTACAGGTTTTCTAAACTATCTTATAAACTTTTTACGCAAAAAGATACCGCGATCTGCAAAACGAACGTCGAGCTCGTTAGCGATACAACATAACGATTGATTCGGTAAACAAAAAGACAACGCAATAAAGCTCTACGGTGTAAATACAATTACGTCGTGGTTGTCGCGGGAATAAGCAAATGCCGGCATTTCACTTTATGCGGTTAATTTGCCACAATTCCAAACAAAAACGCGCATTTACATTTCCTCGTTTTAGGAACCGTGTCGTGTAGCGTCGTTTATTTATGTGACTCGTCGCGCGAACGTTATATTTAATAATACTGATTTACGTAAGCTTTCGCGATCACAAAACTGTTAGAGAAGATGAAGTATGCATGTGCTCGTGAAAGAGTGACATCAGCTGTCGCATGAAGTTTCGGCGTGTCTTCAAGACACACATTTTCGCTGACGAGCAAAGATACCGCCTGATAAAACGCCCGGAATATTCACAGGATATCACGAGACGTTTAATAAGAGCATACAGTGTACGTTATCATATACACACACAGGTGTATTTGATGTCAATTTTCGCAAATACTGCTTTTTTTTTTTTTTTTTTTTTTTTTTTTATGGCGATGCCAGTTTTCATATTTTTGAATATTTGAATCCAAGAAATACTACTTCACGCGCAGACAATTAATATTTCGCGTATCGTTGTGCGTTTCGATTAAAAAAAAAGGAACTATAAAAAGATCATAATAACACGATGTCTCACTGATCATAATAGCAACGGCGACGATTCATCCCGATAGCGAATTATCGCGTTGACTAATCGCTGAAGACGGAAGAAGTAAATAAATGACTATCGCGAATCTCATAATTAGCTCGTTCGTAATGCGTGAGTTTCGGGCTGGGATGCGCGCGAGGCAGCGCCGATATAGGGTCTTTGACCTTAGCGGCGAGAGGGTGAGAGGAGGCACTTAAATCAGCGGTATTGGATTTGTGTCTGGACTGGGAAAATGGCACTCTTGGAAAATGAATATCTATTTTGGTTGTTGAAGAGCGATGCAGTCAGTCGTACCCGATGGGGTAGTCCGCCGTCACAAGTGGATTTAAGGTTATTGAACTTGTTCATTGATCCCTCTCGATGCACCGGCACACGTTCAACCATCGGCGCCACCGCCGTCGGACTCTTCTCCGTTTCTCCTCTTTGCACCTGCGACTTGCTTTCGCGATGATTCTCGATGCGCGCGTAAAAACGCCGAATTAATTTGCCTATCATCCGCGCCCGCGTTACGAACTGATCGTTGCACGTGAGTGTGACGAGTGAGCGATCCGAAGTAAAATAATTCTTTTTGTATTAGATAAACTTTTAATAAATATTTATAACGATTGCATGATTGATCGTTTTAATTAAATATATTTTTACATTACAATAAATATAATTTAATATGTAATTTTATATATTTGTTAACGATTTTTTCAAAATATGATATGATAAAATTAATTAAGACTATTACGTCAGTTAGAATTTGGGAGGAATCTTTTTTATCCTGTATTAAAGATAATAAAAAATTTTGGACAGATACATACGTGTATATATTTATATAAATATCAAACAAATAATTATAAAATTATATAAATATAATTGATTTAAACAATTATTTAATCAAAATAAAATTAATCGTGTAATTATATTAAATATTAATTATAAGACTATCTAAAATAAAATATGAATTATCTTCCTTTGCTCACTCGTCACACTGCACGTTAATGCGTTTATACAACGACTAGCATACACATATATGTCTTCTCGATCTAATTTGTAGATCGAGTTTCGTGTTCCGTAGAAATATCTGTATACGTATCGGTTGAATGATTAACGCGGGCATCCTGATATTGGATTGACGATATTCTATTCAGCCGAGCGTGACGCGAACGTTTTATTTCTGCCATTTTCCATCGTTGTTTAGTTTAATTTTGGGTTTAATCCGGCAACTCTCTTCTCGGAGCAACGACCGTTACGGTGGAGAATGCTCCATGTTTTTGTGAAGATCCGCGGAGGATACACGTCGTTTACCACAATGATTTATATAATGTCCTAGGGAGCGTCGCGTATAATTTATCGCACAATTTACAATGTCAATCACGAGGACTTTACGGCGATGTTAAATATTTATTGAGAAACGAAAGTCTCCGACGAAAGGGACGCGTCTTACACGTTAGACGATGGCAAGATAATACTTTTTTCTCTTCTATTTTTACGAGAACTGTCTTCCGATATCTCACCGATAATAGTTTCGCCATAGTTGTAAAGGGCGCGGTAGAAATTTCTATCGAGTTACGCGAGGTAAGCGATACGATTTTCCGCATTTGTGCACAAATATAACACCAAGATATACTCTCTAAATGATGCATGCGCGCCCGAAAACGGTGTACAATTTCGTCCGTATGCTCTTTTCCAAGCACATCCTGTCATATGCACACGGCGATGTGTTTCCATACTTTTCAAACACGATGATTCGTGCGGAAAACACGGACGTGTGTTTTTAGTTTATGTGCTCGTATAATAGCAAATGCCTAATCTCGTTTGAGAATGTTATCAAAAAATCATATCATCGCGCGTTATTATTAAGATTAAATTTCAAATATATCTTTATCGCACTTCTTTCTTCGAAGAAAGATAAGTCGCGTAGATAATGTACAGATTTCGCTGTAGCAGCATCATCTTCGCAGATGATCAAGAGCAAATGTTTTTCACAACGCATGAAAGCAAATATTTTTCACCTCGCGTGCATCGGTTTTTCCTGACATTAAGCATAATCATATCGTGTTGCAGATACAACGCCGTCAAATTATTCCATAAAAAAAAAGAAAAAAAAAAGAGAGAAAACGTGCTTTTTTGGATGATCTTCTTTCTCTCTCTCCTCTGGCTTGCTCTCACCCGAAAGACGAAAATTGAATTCGCAGAGAGACAGTGACAGGTACTCGATATATACGAAGCTGAGCGCGGCTAATGGCCACGTTCACCCAGTATTCCCGCGTCTCGCGGCGCTTGACTTGACACGGACGGGCAAAGTGTTCTTATATCAGGAATCTCGACCCCCACGGTACACCCGCACGCGTCCTTTTCACGTCACTGACAACAACAACGACGACGATACACTTGACATACTGCGGTGAGGCTTTCAAAAATTCAAAGACCTCGCGTGCTCCGCGATACTCCGTCTGAATTTCTGTACCGAGGACGCTATTTTTTTCGCGTCGCCGGCGGTGCTCCGAATTTTTCTCGGGATCTCGACCTCGGCTAATCGTGCGAGAGCCAAGCGAGCGCTCGATAAACATTCTGCAGGCGTATTCTGTAACTTTTTGATGCATGCGGTATAATTACAACGCATGCATTACGAAACTCGTGACTGTATTAAAAAAATATATTACAACGCGTGCATTAAAATGTTACGGAATGGCTTTGCTGGATGTTTGAACTTTGAGACGAATAAAAATGTTGTATATTTTTAAAGAAACGATTGAACCATCGATTATTCTTTTGAAAATTCTTAAAAGATTGAGACATCAGTCGATATTCTGCTCTTAGGTCACCACGTTTAAATAGGCCAACCTAAGGAGACAACGTTCGCCGAGCAGAAGATGATTCAATTTGTCTCGGACGAGGGATACTCGCGAAATAGATCGTTACGGGATGACTTTGAGTTTTAGAAAGGTGATTGGAGACGTAGACGTATATTAATGCAACAATTTAAAGACAAAGATTTAATATCTCAGTAAATTAAAGTACATTATTTAATCTATATATCAGAATTAGATAAAAATCAAATTTAAAAATGCAAATTTACAGATAAAAGTTAATAAAAGAAAATATTTTATAGTAATTAGGAGTTATTAAATATTTGTGTATGAAAAAATAGTTTAAACTGTCACAGAGCAAATGTGCAAAAATATATCGTTTTACCAACCTTTTTTTAAAAAAAAGATAAATATGCTCCTTGTTTTATTAACGAAGCGAATTCGATTCGTATCATCAATTTATTGACTCACCGTTTTAAATGCAAATTATCGCATGAGTCAATTGATGGTAGGTTTGCGGCGAGACGTCTGTCAAATAATGACAGCGAGCAAACATGACGGAACACTAAACTATTTTACGCAACTAACTAAACCTCCATTAATTATCCATCCTTTCGCGTCTCGCCGGTCACGTTATTCTCTCTGGTCGAATTTTTCGATATTTTATCTTTCGCTATTTTATAAATTGTCATTCATGAGAGAAACATATTTGATATCTTGCATCATGTGTTTACCGGATTCAAGAACGTGAATCATTTTATTTGAGATATTTAATATCGGAAAAATTATCATTAGTAAAAAGAGAAACGATAATGTTTCATGCCGCGATAATAATGTCAAAATAAATCAGAGGGCGATCGTTGCCTCGTAAAAGGTAAAAGGACATTCGCAAAATCTCAAAATCGAAATTCGCGAAGTTACGGGATTAAAAGTCCGAC